ATAAATAAATTAACAATAGAAATTTTTTTGTTAATAGAAATAAATTATTTAATAAAAAAACATGTTTTAATAATAATTTGGCGGAAGGTATATTTTCACTCTCAATATATTTCTGGTATAGGGACGCTCCTGAGCCAGAGCTTCACGTGAGCGCTCGGTCCGAAATATGCAGTGCTCTTTGCGAGCATTGATGTAATAGATGGAAGAAAATACAAAATTTTCAATAAAAGAAAAAAATTAAAATAATGTCCCTTTTTGATTAACATATTTTATAAATTAATATCGTAATAAACAAATAATAATTAAATATAAAAATTATGAACTGAATAGAAAATAATTAGAAATTGATCATAAATTTATGTAAAAACTGATTAGAAAGTGCTGGTTAAAAAGTCATTAGAAACTAGTTACAAACTGGCTAGTTTCACTATCTAGATACTGTCGAAACAAGCGTCGCCCAAACTGAGACGAATCTAATCAGTAATACTGGTCAAATACTAGAGAGTAACTGATCCTGGCTAATTACTAGCTACATTCTAGCTTATTTTCTACTCGGATATTTTAAATGATTCTATTTTAAATGATTTTAAATGATACTTAAACGATTGATAATATTCTATATATCCTTTATAAAAATATGCAAATTTTCTTAATATTGCAAAACAATTTGCGCTCAATACAGCTTTGGTTAAAAGTATTAAATATCTCATTATTTAATTTTTCAGCTAAAAAATTAATTTATGACACTATTATTGCTGCAAATTATTCTGTTTCTTTAAACTTACGTATAATGTCGATCCTGGCTCGGTAAAATAACTGTTACAACTTATTTAAAATAAAATATATAAAATAAGTTTCAGAAATTTATTTAAAATATAAAATTGTAGGAATCGGTAAAACGGATATGACTATAAGAAATACGAGAGCAAATCAATAAGTACCCGTGTTAGTAATGAAGCTTTTCAAAAATTTTTTTTATTTTCCAACGTAATCCCCTTTTAGGAGGATACACTTTTCCCAACGCTTCTGCCATTCTTTTAACCCCTTAGAAAAATACGATTTGTCGAACTCTGCAAAATAGGCCTCTGTTTCGACGATGACCTCCTCATTCAACGTGAATTTCTTTCCACCGAACCATTTTTTCAAGTTTGAAAACAAGAAGAAATCACAGGAGGCTAAATCCGGAGAGTACAGTGGATGCGCCAGCAATTCGTAGTGCAATTCGACCAATTTGGCTGTGGCGACTGCGGAGGAGTGAGCCGGTGCATTGTCCTGATCGCGACACCCATCGAGCCGACAGCTTTTTCATTCTCAAGTTATCATGCAAAATATTGAATGCCGTACGACACGCCTACGGCCTCTGTTACTTCATGCACTTTCGTTCGGCGATCAGCGAGAATCATGTCGTGGACTTTTTCAACGATTCCCTCAGTAACCACGTCTGCCGGGCGGCCTGGTCGCTTCCTTATAAAAAACAGACGAATGACCACGTTTGAATTCGTTGAACCAATATCTGATGGTTGTCATAGATAGTGAAGAGTTCGCATAGACGGCATCCAATTCGTTTTTATTTCTTCGCACGTTTTTTCATTCAAAAATAAGAAACGAATCACGGATCGATATTGCTCTTTTTTCATTGTATTGGAAAACAAACACGCTCACTACGAATTGCTGTCAAATCAAGGCTATTGCATGAATCATCTGAAATTTTGTATGGCGTCGTTTGAAAGATGGTAGTACACGATGGTAATGCCAACTTGCATCAGCAACGTCGCCTGTCTTAAAACACGGATACTTGATTTGCCCTCGTAAATTAGAAGTGTTGTTATTTAAAATATAATAAATACTAAATAACTCTTTTATTTTAAAATAAGATATGTAATAGGATGAATATCATTCACGTCTTATTCTAAAATAAAAGAGTTATACTAATTATATTTGATAAAAACGGACTGAAAATTTGCATAAAGAAACATAACTTCGTAATTTTATAAAATGTTATAAGACAAAATTCACAAAATTATTAATTTGTTTGAATTTTCAATTTTGTTTATTAAAATTTAACAACTTTTATTTACATACAGTGAGTACAAAAAGTATTCGAACACCGAAAATATTTTTTAAAAAACTTTTTAAAAAGTAGATATTATCCAGCGTGAAATGAGTCATCGAATTAATGTCAAATCGATATAAATGCGATGATTTTAACACTAATTCGTTAAACGTTTAATTAACGATCATTTCTTTTATGTTGGATAATTAACAATTTCATAAAGAATAAAACTTCTTAAAATTATATATACCAAAATAATGTGTATTAATTATATTAGGTGTTGGAATTAATTCGTAGCGTTTTTTAATGAAAGAATGTTATTTATTTCACATGAGCATTAAAAAATACATTAATGAAAGTACTTCTCATCACTTGTAAAACGCTACGAATTAATTCCAACACCTAATAGAAAATATATCATCCGAAAAATAAGCAAAAATTAAAAATTGTATTGTTTGAATGCTCAAAAAGTATTCGTATAGACGAGAAATTTAGCTTCTAAAATCAGGAATACATACTAAGTTCGTTTGTTTATATTAGAACAGAATTTATTGTATAAAATTGCTAATTAATGTTTTCTACAAATAAGGCTTTTTTTTATAACAGATTTCCTTGTACGAATACTTTTTGCTCTCATTATATAAGAGATGCGAAATTAAAATTTTTTTATTCAAGAATCCATTAAACTATCCTGCCTATGGATATAGCCAGCATGCTTTTGTCCTGAGGATTTATTACAGAAACGATCCACATCTACTTTCGACGATACAATTTTATCGATAATGTCAGAAAATGTATATAGTCACATAGTTTCTCAAATCAAAAATGGATGTACTAGTGGTAGTATACAGGCGATTTCGACGGTAACAGCAAAAAAACCGGCCTCTTTCAGGCTTCTTTCTGTGCATGAATATCCTGACAAAGAGAGAGAAACCTAAAAGAGGATCGAAACCTGTAACCGCAAAATGCTGCCACGCACTACTGCCCTCTAACAAAGTGGATGTAAACTATATAACAAAGTTCACTTTTTTTAGGGTACATCGTCCACTTTTCAAGGCTGAGATGATAAATCGATATTTGATTCATATATTATCGTGCTATATGTAGCACAATTATGATTGAAAAAATTCTCAGAACTTTATGAGAAGAAAATAATATATGATATTTGTCTCTTGCAGCTTTTTTATAAAGTTGAAATTCTATTTATTTTAAGTAAAAAAATCATTCATGACCAATATTTGGCAATTTCTAGTAATTAATATCTTAATTATTAACTATTGCGAAAATTGCAAAATGATAGAGGACTCAGTTTAATCCGCTCTATCTACATAGAAGTGATTAGCAAAAACTTTCAGAACACCCTGTATATTAAAAACCGTCAACCGAGGGCAAATTTTCGGTGGTATAAAAAGGGCTCCAAGGGCCTCGGAGGTAATTGAAGAACGCTGACATATCGACAATTGATATAAATTTACTTATTATATATTAACATAAATATTAAGAATACAAATTAGTTCAGTCCTTTTTTTTTGTATTCAAAAATGCATTTATTTCAAAACAAAATGAATGAACAGATTAATTAAAGTCATTGTCCATATTGTCCATCGCTGGCTACTACTTTTTCCCATCTTTCAGGCAATTTTCGAATTCCATCTCGAAAAAATGACTCGTCTTTTTGGAGGCGGTCCAATTTTCTATTTCTGCGAAAGAAGTGAACTGGTGACTTGCCAAATTGTACTGCATCCTTCGGAACAATCAGTAATCAGAAGGAGCAATGTCCGGAGAATATGGTGGGTGCGGTAAAACATCCCATTTTAGCGTTTCCAAATATTTTTTTACGATTTTTGCGACATGAGGCCGAGCGTTGTCATGAAAAAAAATAACTTTATCATGTCTTTGCTGTATTTCGGCCATTTTTCTCGCAATGCACGGCTCAAACGAATCAATTGTAGCCGATACCGATCGCCCGGTTTAATGGAATCGCCAGGTTTCAGCAGCTCATAGTAAACAACATCTTTTTGGTCCCATCAGATACAGAGCATGATCTTCGAATCATGAATATTCGGCTTTGGTGTTGATATTGAGATCGATGGCAACGATTGACCAGGCTTAGCGTAGTATTTTTTCTTCTGGGGATTGTCGTAGAATATCCACTTTTCATCTCCAGTCACAATCCGATGCAAAAAACTTTTTCTTTGTTGTTTAAATCAGTTGTTCACAAGTGAAAAATCGCCTTTCAATGTCTCTCGGTTTCATTTCATAAGGCACCCAATTTCCTTGTTTTTGAATTATTTCCATGGCTCTCAATCGTGCAGAAACGGCTTGTTGGGTTACTCCCAATGATTCTGCAAGTTCCTCTTGCGTTTAACTATGATCTTTTTCGAGTAATGCCTCTAATTCTTTGTCTTCGAATTTTTTTGACTGTCCAGAGCGAGGCTTGTCTTCAACATTGAAATCTCCATCCTTGAAACGTCGAAACCATTATCTACATGATTTATCAGTTGGAGCAGTGTCACCATAAACTTCGATAATAAATATGCATTTTTGCAAATATATTGCAAAAAAATTACAATTTTTTTCTCTGCAGTTATCATTTTTATTAATAAACGAACTTTGATAACAATCACAATTTTAAAGAAATATTGAGTATTATTGAGTTTCTAAATGCATAAATACATCTACTAAACTAATAAATCATAAAATTAGTACAATATTATCAGTTTTTCTTTCTTAATCACTTCAATATTCGCAAGAACGTGAACGTACGGATGTCGGTTTTTAATAATATCTCGTCAGTATCAAAGTCTATGACCTTGATAATATTTTATCGGTGCAGTCATCTAAATACCGTGAATGCATATCCCCACCATAACTCTCTGGAGCTCCAATCAGAAATTGGGTCATGTGTAATTCCTACTCTCTCTTGTGCAAACTGCGTATTGTAAGTCAGTGCGAGCGCAATTCGTAGAAGAACATACTTTTCCGAGGAGGAAATTCGATCTGTTCAGTTCTTAGTTTTGCTTTCATTGACAAGTTCGTAAGTATGTTTAGTGTAAAAATTCTTACTTTAAATATATCTTGAAAACTAACGTGGTTATAATATTAAAACATATAAAAAATAAGAGCATAAAAACCACAGCACAATTTATAGTTTGTGATATTTAATTATTATTACATTAATTAAAACATTAAACGTTTCGGCCATAATCTGGCCATCTTCAGTAATTCAATAATATTCTTAAAAACGCAGAGTTACATCTAGTTGACATTAAATTCAACAGTCGGGAGTTGTAACTAAATAAACATGTTCTTTTCTATGTGAAGATGCTTCATACAATAATGTTACAACGCCAGTTGTCATATCAAGAAAAATGTAGAACAAGAATTTCCAGATTCTAATTTAAATAAAATTGTATATATTAATATCTTCTAGTCGTAATATAAAGAAATAGAATCATTACCTGTTTTACGGCAAAAAAATTAAACGATGAATCTCAAGTACTTCTTTTGCACAATTAGAATTTTGTCGTGACATTATGTATTGTTATTTGTCCTATCATGTATTTTACCACTATTTATATATCTGAGTCAACAGTTTAGAAAGTTCTAGAATTATTTATTAAAGGAAAGAGAAATCTTTCTTTAGAAGAGAAAAATAAACATCACGCAAACCTTCCGTGTCACTTTGCTTATTGATACCACTTGTTTGTCTTTTTATATGTATCATTTCCGAAATTCTTTTTTTCGGATTAACGATTGTCCTATATCTAAAATTCTTATATTATCCCAATCTAATTCATGCATCTCATTCAAACGGTGACGTAAAACCACTGAAATTTCGGAAGAAGGTTTTTTTATGTCGGCCTTATGTTCTTTAATCCGAGTTTTTAATTTCCTTTTAGTTTGGCCAACATAAGACGATTCACAGTTTAAACAATTAATTTTATAAACTACTCCGCATTGGTCAGCCTTAGGCAAAGAATCCTTTCCTGTCTTAATAAATGTATTCATTTTATTCATAGATTCATAAGCTATATTAAAACCATAAACATGTGAAAGTAGTTTCACGTCACCGTTTGAATGAGATGCATGAATTAGATAGATGTAACTCTGCGTTTTTAAAAATATTATTGAATTACTGAAGATGGCCAGATTGTGGCCGAAACGTTTAATGTTTTAATTAATGTAATAATAATTAAATATCACAAACTATAACTTCTGCTGTGGTTTTTTATGCTCTTATTTTTTATATGTATTACTTTAAACTCTTTCGCAGTGTGTCTGCTTATTTGAGATCAATATTAAAATCAATATTATCAATATTAAAATCCGAACTGCGTTTAAAGCTAAATAAATGTAACTCTAAAGTCCATTTGACAAACTACAAGCTTCAATAGTAATGTTGCAAAAACTTATAGCCACGTATACAAATAATTCGCCACATTGGAACAGCGTTTGTTGAATAGAAGAAAAATGTTTGTCTCACGATATTGAGAAAAGCGTTTGCTAAATATTTGAAAAATCTGACAGTGAACTCTCTGCACGAAGGCGCATCCGCGTTTACTGAGCATCCTTTGGAAAGCGTTACTTTAGCATTATAGAACTTTCATGAAACGATATATACTGTATTTTATAAGCGTTCTGAAAGTGTTTAAAATCCAATGGTGTTCTGTAAGCGTTCTTATAAAGTTTGAAAACGTATAAACTCTTAAAAAATCGTCATCGAACGATTGTCAACGTTTTATAAAGTTCCGTATTTTCGCCAGAGATATAATGTGTGTACATTGAATACAATATTAATAGTCTTACACCAACTTTTTATGCGAAAACGCAATTTATCTAATAATATAATCGCAAATTCTATTCTCGCGTGTGAACTCATTGAAGACGGGAAAAAAGAAATATCGTAAAAAAATCATTTAGAAACATCATTGTAATTAGGATCATATCTAATTGAGAAGGTGTTTTGAATTCGCTGTTTTAGCATGTCTAGTTAAATCGATTTATTACGAGAATCAAACTTAGCAAACTTAAAACGTAATTATTTTCAACATTTATAATTTATATCTTGCATGTTGTAACACTTAAACTATGATCTGTTTTTTTTCACATATACGACAGTTGTTTGAAAAGTTTTGAGTCTCAACACGAAGATCGCATTACTCGTCAAAACCATTCTGGTACTACAATCGTACATATTTTGAAAGATAATTGTGAACATTATAACCATTGTGGACGCTCAATTGTTGTCATTTGTGCCAATCGATGTCAATGTTTTTGTAAAAATGGAAAAAAATCAAATATCGACATTCGCCATAACAAAAATTTACGAATTGCGGTTCGAATTAATTACTGAGAAAAAAAATTTGTTTAACGAAAAAAAAGTTATTTGACTCAACAAAATGCTGCGGTCGAATACATATAAATAAATATCAATTATGTAATAATAACAAAGTATTTCAATTACTTATAACAATTTTAAATTTGGCTTAACCAAACTAAGTTATTGCAGACAAAATGTTTATTTGATTTGAGAATATATTTAATTGAATAGTAACTTATTTTGACGATCCATTAAATAACATTAATTGAGACAACAAAAGGATATGTGTCAAATAAAAAATATAATAGAACAATCAAATTTATATTTAAAATAAAAACATATCATTAACGCTCAACTTTTTTATAATAGAAATTTGTACACATTAATATTATTGAAATTCATGTATGTTTTATTTGGTTAAACATAAGTCATAGTACACAAAATAAATAGTAGATCGAACTTGATATTTATTTAATGTAAACAATATCCTTTTAATGAAGTGAAAATATTTTGATTATCTCGTAATAATTTAAATTAAACAAACTATCTTTCTTGTTCGTTTAAATATTTATGAAGTATATTGAGTGTGAAGACACCTTAGTTTGACAAAATATTTGTTTCCTTTGAAAATTCATTACAGTTAATGTAACATAGAAAATCTTGTTAAAAATTAATCAATTTATTTGATTAACCATTATTTGATTAACTTTAACGAAAAAAATCTTTTTTTGTTATTACTTTTATTTTTCCAGTTCAATTTATTATTTACTGGTTTCGCATACCTATTCTTGTGTGTGTGTCTTATCAATTATAATTAATTATTGAAAGATCAAGATTTGAACGATAACTTAAGGCCGCGGTCCGATTTACGCTCACAACGTTTAAAAATTATTTCATAATTAAAAATTATTTTCCTTGTTGTTTGTTAAATGTTAAACGAAGACAAATAATGCTCATGAGCGTTGTCAGCATGAATCGGACCACGGCCCAATACACTTACTTTAAGCTAATCACACGCTTGTGATCGAGTGATGTGTGTTATTGCCAACGTTACTTATAAAGGGTGTTTTTTTAAGCCCGATAGAACTTGAAATTGTAAAAAATAAAACAAAAAATTAAATTAAACAGCCGCGGTGACCATATGTCCGAAATCATTTTCAAATGTTAATGCCATGCATTGATCTTTCGACTAAAAAAAATTTTTTGATTATAATTTAAGAAACAATTAGCATAATATAGCATTTAGGCCCAGTTCCACAACTCATGGTTAACTCTTAACCAAGTTTAATTCATTTCTTATTTGTTTTCAATTCTAAGAATGAAGAATAAAAAGTTGAACCTATCAATGGTTCCATTAAAATTAGGAGTTAAAACTTTGTTTGGCTAGGAAATTGTTTGAAAAAATACTCGCTCTTCATCAACCAAGTTTTGCAGGCCAATAAAATTTGAATATGCTTTTGAAATTCTAGAAAAAAAATAAAAAGTAAGGTAAATGAAATTAACAATAAAATTAAAAGTCTTGTTCCTACCATATTAGAAATAGATAATGGCATTTATAAAGTGTTTCATGAATTGTTCTTAATTATGATCGATGGAAAAGTTTGTCAAGCATTGACTTTTATTCCCTTTTCGTTAAATTGCATAATTTGGTGCAAAACCATCAGAAATGAACAAGAAAAGTAAATTTATTCTAAATGAAGAAAATTAAAGCCATTATTTCTTGTGTTGGAATAGGAAGACTGAATGAAAATATTTTTGAAGAAGAATTAAAGTTACTACTACTATTTTTTGAGAAGTTGAAATAAAAAGATTTTCAATGAAAATATTAAAAGATACATAGCATATCATATAGTGAAGTACCACTTGGATTTCACTTTTTAATTTTACTTTTAATGAATCTAAAAAATTTTAGCAACTTGTGACTCTATCTTGTTCATTCGCGAAATCTAATATAGAATAAGAATATTATTGAAGAAGACTCGAAAGAAAGTCGAAACATTCAATGACTTCTCAAGATTATAAATAAAAAAGACATCTGTACATCAAATGGAGTAACAATTTTACTTGTTAAAAATTATATTATTATATATAAAATTGACTTGGCAATTGTTAATATCAAATCTTTTATACACATGATACATATTATTATTAGAATTAAGTAAATAATAAAGATAGTACCACTTGGATTTCACTTTTTAATTGTAGGTATATTATTAGAATTAAGTAAATAAATATACTAGTTTAACTTGACGCCTGTTGTTAATACTAAATCTTTTATACACATGATATACACATATCATTAAAGTTAAGTAAATAAAAAGATAATAAAAAGATACTCTTGGGTTTCACTTTTTAATTTGGTAGAATTTAATTAATTAATTTGATAAAGATACAAATGATATGTATCATTATTTTAATTAACATTAAAATTACAATCACAATTACAAGTATAATCAATTTTTTATCTAATTTTAAATCTATGCACCGCTTTTTTATAATCTTAAATCTATGCATCGTTCTTACAACACATGTCTTACAAATATAAAATTATCCTATTCTTAATTATATGTGCTTTTACAATATATAACGCACGCCGTACAAATACTTATTCTATATTAAATCTAAATCACAAACCTGTCTGAATTATTTCCTTGCACATACATATACGTAGCATTTAACTTCACAAAAATTTTATAATTTCATTCAATTTTGTGCCATTGCTGATATCAAATCTTTATCTTTTCTAAAAATAATAGGTATATCATGGAATTAAGTAAATAATAAATAAATGTACTAGTTTAACTTAGTACCTGTTGTTAATATCAAATCTTTTGTACACATGATATACACATATCATTAAAGTTAAGTAAATAAAAAGATAATAAAAAGATACTCTTGGGTTTCACTTTTTAATTTGGTAGAATTTAATTAATTATTTTGATAAAGATATAAATGATACGTGTCATTATTAGAATTAACTAAAAATAATAAGGATAGTACCACTTGTGTTTTACTTTTTGAAAGTTACTATTATTTTTTTAGGGCGAGAGGTTGAAATAGGAAGACTTTCAATGAAAATACAAAAAGTATCGTATCACTTAATAAAGATAGTATCACTTAGATTGTATTTTTTAATTTAGTACACTATTTTTTTTTAAATATATGAAAAGAAAGAGCATAAAGAACCACAGCACAAGATGTAGTTAGTGATATTTAATTATTCTTGCATTACGAATTACAATAAAAACATTAAACGTTTCGACCACAATCTGGCCATCTTCAGTAAAATTAATAATATTCTTAAGACGCAGAGTTACATCAAGTTGGAATCAAATTCAACCCTCGTGTTATAATTGTAAAGATCGTGTTTGCATCAAAGCGACGCTGCTTCATATAATAATGTTAGAACGTCATGTAGTAAAAAGTGTAGAACGAGAATTTCCAGATTCTAATTTACAATAATTTATTTAATTATTAATATCTTTTAAAAACGGAGTATAAAATAAAGGAAACATTACCTATTTTACAGCAAAATAATCGATGAATTAAAAGTATATTCATTTCACAGATAGAAATTTGTCGTGACACTATGTGTTGTTTTTTTTGTTTTAAACAATTTGATAGACAAAGATTTTATCGGATAAGCTAGTTTTTATTTAATAACCTATTTAGTCAATCAATACAAAGATTTTCTCATTTCGATCTCTAGGACAAAAATCAACTGCGTTATTATTTTTTTTAATAAACATCCGTCATTATGAAAACGAAAGTAATGAGTGCTTCGAGATGGCCATGAGTTTTGAAAGTGACGTCGAGTAGCACTGCGCAAAATGGCGCATCAGTCACGGAGTGTGATTTTTATCGATTTCTTACAGTTGTAACTAACAAAAGTAATTTGATTCAATCGGAATTTCTCCGATTTTGAATCGACGACGATATTGGAATCCGTTTTAATGAAAACAATAATCCGATTTTCTCGCAACCGGCAAAAGTAATCCTATTTAATCGGAATTTCTCTGATTTTGCGAACGATAATGAAATCGATTTTGATGTAACGAGAATCTGATTTTGCCAAAAAATATTCGATTCAGTCGGAATTTCTCCCAATTAATGGTTAAAAATTAAATCGGATTTAATGCAACGTAAATCCGATTTTGTCATGACTGACAAAAATAGTTAGATTCAATCAGAATTTCTCCGATCTTTCGATAAAAATTAAATTGTTAATGTACGTATTTTTATTTGTAAAATTTTATTTTTATCGTTACAAGAATGTCTAATAGAAACAAAAATTAAATTCTTATGTCTCCAATAAACAAAGAAACGCTATTAGTCTAAAATAATTCGACCAGAAGGATCATTTTTAACTTTAATTTCAAAATATTTATATACATATTCCATTTCTTACAAAGTACGCGATAAAAATATGTAATATTTAATTATAAACATAACATATGTTATTTGGTGGAAACGAATATAAGTCGAATATTTTTTACCGCGGATACGAAAAAAGTTAATCCTCGTTGCATTAAAATTTCAATATCGTCCGCAAAATCGGAAAAGTTTTGATTGAATCTGATTACTTTTGCCAAAGAGAGGCAAATTTGATTACCTAGTTGTGTATTAAAGATCCTTATATCCTAGTTTATTTTCATCCCCGAAATCGGAGAACTTCGAATTCAACCGGATTAATGTCGTCTTTTCTAGCAAATAGAATTAAGATCAATTGAATCGGTGTTCCTGTAATTGACTAGTAGTAGACTAACTACAGCAAACTGAACTGTATGACTCATTCAGTGACGACTCTTATAATATTTACTCAAAATTTTATTCCTTTAAAGAGATTTTCCTCAGTGGTAAATATTGTATTATAAGTTTAGTTCCCTCATGTCCAATCTCGAAAACTAGACTTATTCGACGTGTTTTTGCACGAAATGAACAAATTTTACAAAAAGAAGTATTGTTTTGTCCTGCGAAGCGAATGTTTATGTTTAAAATATATTTTTATAAAAGTTTTATTAATGTGTATAGCCAAAGATGTAACTTAAAATACATTAATCTTTATTTTAATAATCTTAGTCAAATTAGCCCCTGATCCCGGGGCTAGTTGAATCAGATGGAATGCATTAGAAAAATGCATTTTTTTCATATTAGTTATTAGTTTCCCCTTATTATTAAAATATTATTAGATAGTCAAATGTATGTAGTAACTGGTGTAGAATTCATTTTCTTGAGAAGTCTCTTAATTTTGTCTGTAAAAATTCGAAATTGAAAAATGAGTCTATTAACTCCGGTTTCTCCTATATCATTAAAGAACAATAAATAAATTAACAATAGAAAATTTTATATTAATAAAAATAAATTATTTAATAAAAAACATGTTTCAATAATAATTTGGCGGAAGATGCTCCCAGTATATTTCTGGTATAAGGATGCTCCTGAGTCAGAGTGTCACGTGAGCTCGGCAGTTCGGGCGGTGGTGGGAGTCACTCGCCGGAATTAGCCCGAAATGTGCATCTTTGCGAGCATTGCTATAGGCTACATATAATTTGACAATATCGGACATTTCGGTTCTGTTCGAGCATGTCTAAATAATAATTTAAAAATTGTTTACAGTAATTAGGTCCAAGAAGGCAGCCGAGAGAGCCTCTTCAATTTGAAAAGCATCATTGTCACTGTAATATAGTCCAGTAGATGGGTTAGTTAGGGTTTTTTAAAAAAAATTGTAAATTGTCATTTCTTTTGACGAAAATTTTCAGAAGGCTATCAGAAAAGAAATGCATGTGTTTGAGACTCACAACTCGAATGGGAAATACCCAAAAAAAATTCGGATAGTTGCAAAAAATAGGTTTTCGCTTATAAAACGAAAGATGTTGATTGTATGAAAAAAAATTTAGTATGAAAAATATAGATATTCGAAATACCTACAAAACGAAACGTTAAACATTAGATCGGTTCATTAGTTAAGTCGAAAAAGAATTAAGATCATCAAAAAAGGTTTGATACCCGCTTTTTTTCACTCGCTCTCTGTTCATCGAGATTTTAACGAAAGGCTTTGAAATTTTCGTGAAATGTAGCTTTCGTTATGACGAACAAATCCAGCCCTAATTGCAGCCTAAAATGTTTATTAGTTTTTGCAAAAAGTTATTTGTTCACTAAAAACCTGTTTGTGGAAAACTTAATTGTTTCACCTTTAAGCAGTAGTACAGCAAACTTCAGAGGTACTGTTTCCTCTTCAAGAGTTCACAATCACATATACTTATTGTTGGTAATAAAACGATTTTTTGCAATTAAACTATTATAAAACGATTTTGAAAAGTATTTATTTTTCTTATAAAAAAATGGAATAATTCCATTAATATACATATTTAAATAGCCATGTGAAACATTTGACAGCTGCTATTTTTCTATGAATTTAAAAACAGTTACCTTTCGATTGTTAGGAGCCGGATAACAATTTTTTTTTCAAAATATCACTGTAGCTCTAATTTTTAAAATTAAGAACTGCGTCTTGCATCAATTTGTAAAGGAAGAATCGAATTTGCTATTTAAAAAATATCGAATTTTACTGTCGAAAAAATTTGTTTGAAACTTCGAAAGTTCGGTAGCGCGCCGAGCTGAGTGGGAGAAACGGCGTGACGTAAGTGGAGGAGAGCAGGCCGCTCAGCGACTCGTGCGTGTCTGACCTCATGCATTTAAGTTTGTTAAATTTACATCTTTTCAGCAACAAATTGACGTAGAAATATGATTTTTTTTTTAATCTGATGTACTAGCTTGACGAGATATTAACAAATAGCCTAGCCAAATTTTTCTCAAAGTAATCGTAACCATGAAATTTTCATTTCTCGTTTCTTGAATTTTTATTGTTTTCGATTTATTTGGAATATGAAGTGCATGTCCGACTAACAAATTTAGTCACATTAGCTATGTTTCTTTATTTAATATGCTGTAAAAAGTGTCTAATTGAACACTTAAATGTACAAAATTATCAGTATAAGATTATTTTTGTGAATTTAATTGCAGATATAAATTACAGATATAACATATGTAAATAAATAATTAATAAGCACCTCAGGTAGGTACAAAACGGACATTATGAGATTAAAGATGTGTTAGGAGATTTAAGGTATGTTTGGGAAGACACAAATAGGATGTTCCATTTAAAAAAAATCAATGCGATCTTGATTCGACCTTGGCGATGTTACCCAAGGTCAAGCGGATATGATCAGTGAATAGATCTTTTTAAATCATACAATTTTTGTCTGAAACATTTTTTTCAAAAATGTGTGAGTCAATTGATTGCATGCATAAGCAATTATAATATATTGCTGCATTTGTAACGTGTACTATTTTTATGTCAGCAAATATGCCAAGTACAAGACAATTCATACAATGCATCAGTTTGTTCAATAATCTATACTAAATCACGCTTGATCATCTTGGTATTAATAAAAGATATTTTTTTATCAAGTTAAATGTGAAGCTGTAAAAATCATTAATGATTTTAATGATATTTTGCTACAGATTACAGAAAAATGGCAAATGATCGTTTAGATATGGTAATATTTGCCGCCACTGGACATACTGGAAAATATGTAGTGAAAAATGCAATCCATGTGTGTAAAGATCAGAAAATGAAATTCGGTATTGCTGGTCGTAGGAAAGAAGCTTTAGACGCAATTGTTAAGGAATTTGCCTCAGATATTGGTATATTTAAAACTTAGAACTGATTATTCCAATTATAATAGTAAATCACTTTATTTTTTATTTGCAAATGTTATCACATTACATATATATTATTAGCGGATGTGCCTGTTATTCTGGCTGATGTTAAAAATGAGAAATCTCTCAAGAAAATGACGGAGCGAGCAAAGATACTTGTCAATTGTTGTGGTCCATACAGATTTTATGGAGAACCCGTTATCAAAACATGCATTGCTACTCGTACTCATTATGTTGATGTCGCTTTTGAAGAACAGGTAATTCAACAACGTTATGCAATAGTAACGATCGATTGATGATTTCTCTCTGATATCTTTATTATTTTATTAGTTTATGATTGAAATGGAATTAAAATATAACGAAGCAGCAAAAGAAGCTGGCATCTACATAGTAAGCGCTTGCGGCTTGGATTGTATTCCTAGTGAGTTGGGAGTTATTTTTACGCAACAGAAATTTGAAGGAGAAATGAATGCTATTGAAATATATATGAGCATGTGGTTAAGTCCTACTGAGAAGATAGGTCCGATTTGCAATTATGGAACTTGGCAAACTTTTGTACACAATCTGGCTCATATAAAGGAACTACTTGCATTACGCAAAAAATTATATCCTATCAAGTTGCCTGAGTTCGTACCGAAATTAAAATCAAGGTACACACGATTCTATATCTTACATGTCTTACGCATATTCATAAATCATATTTTTTTCAGCTAACAATAAGTCAAATATAAGTAAATTTTCTATTAAATATTTAGACAATATGCAAGTTGGATGCAATATTGATAAAAAGAAATAGTTATTATAGTAACGGCAAGCAGTGTTAATAATTCCATTTATTTTGCAGACTACTGCACCGAAGCGATGTTTCTGAAGGATGGTCCTTACCATTTCCGAGTATCGATCGTTCAGTAGTTCTTCGTACACAGCGATTCTTATATGAGAAATATAAAGAAAGGCCTGCGCAAGTTCAATTTTATGTTACATTGAAGTTAGTAGGAATGAATATTGATAAATAATTTTTGTTAAATTCTGTGCTTACTCTATTAAATCTTTCTTAAATTCTGTATTTACTAATAGATATTTCTTCGAAATCCTGATATTAGCCATTATCGGTATGTTTATGTTTGTTTTGTCTTGCACAGCATGCGGTCGTAATTTACTTCTAAAAGTATGTATGCAAGTACTTGCGTTTTTGATTCTCAAAATCATTTAGATAATACAAAATAATAACATGCGATATTTGCAGTATCCGACTCTGTTTTCATTCGGTATCATAAGCTCGAATCCGGAACTGCTGAAACCGACATATTTTTCTGTTACGTTCAATGCTAGTGGATGGACTGAAAAATTGGCTGGACCTATCGATAAACACAGAGATCCACCTAATAAAAAAGTAGTCACTAGAATGTCTAGTGATTCTCCCGGATATGAATTGACTAGCATCGCAATGATCCTATCGGCAGTAACAATCCTTAACGAAACTGACAAAATACCTGACAAGTTAGTAAATTATTAATTACTTATCAATGTAATACTTATGTCTATTGTAATCATTTTTGGAAAATTTAAAAATTATTCACTTATAGCTTGAGATAATTAATGACAATTGAAAGACAATTAGTTACATGTTGAATATTGATTTTTTATTTTTATGTATTAATATTTTTATAGCGGAGGAGTACTTACTCCAGGTGCTGCGTTTGGTAAAACATCTCTGATCGAGAAATTGATAAAACATAATATTAAATTTGAGGTGATATCATCTACGGAGAAATAAAAATAAGAAAATTGTATTTAATTCTGTTATGTACTATATTTTAACACATTTTATTTTTATGATTTTGATATTAACATTTGTTATGGTTTCGAATAAACTTTTATTTTATACACTTATATTTCAACAGGAAGATATATATATTTATAAGACATTTATATTATTATATATTTATAAGCCAAAGCAATAATAAAATAACTATATAAAACTATATAACTATATATTAACTTTTTATATTTTAATTCCTTAAAACTATTATTTAATTACAATTTTTTATTATTATTATTATTATTATAAATAATTAATATATTACCCTATATATTCACATTCTATACTTATTATACTTTCTTCTTTTTTTATATCTATCAACTTTTTAAAAAAATTTAAATTTATAAATACAGTCCTTTCGTACAAATACTTATTATTCTAATTATAGAAACCGATTTGGCTCACGCCGATCTAAACTCAAATCATGTAAGATTCTGAAAGTCGAACAGACTTAAATATTAAACTTAAATTAAAGTTTTAATTCTTTTTATCTTCTTCCTTTTCTTTGTCTTCCCTTGTCTTTTCTTCTCTTTGATTTTCTTTTGATTGTCTTTTCCCTTTTCTGCTTATTTTGCTGTTTAGCGAAATAAAACCATTCAGCTGCAATATTGTCGGACTCCGTTTTCGTAAATGTCGGTGTCGTGTGATGCGAGGTAATCATTCCTTAAAACAAAATTAATAAAAATAATACAATATATTTTTAATTTATGATTTAACAACATTTTTTGTATATACCCTTTATAATTATTATAAAGATGTATTCCTTTCTGTCTGTCATAACTCTTCAGGCGCTGTTGACGATTATTATACGGATAACAATTATCTTTTTTGCATGTGGTAAAATAATAGAATTTTACATTCTATGTTCTAACGTATAACAATTATTAAACCCAATAAGTTATGTTACAATACATTATTTACCCCTAATATCTCAATAATTTATATGCTATTAATTTGTAACATTCTTTAGTTATTTGTTATATACTTTTAACAAATATAATATAATAAAATGAAATGAATTGAACTGCAATGCTGAATATTATTTAAAAAATCTTTTTTTATTTTAATATAAAACGTAATTATGAAATATAAATATTTCTAAAATTAAACAGAAATACATTCTTAGTTAGTAATTATTTTTCATCATGTGTCCATTTCTATATCTGATTTAGAGTACGAAAATGGCAGATATAACATTTCACGGAAACTGGTATCAATTTTGTTAATAAAACGCAAATTTATTTAAGTTATTAATGATATTATAGGCAATAATCTTAAATGTAAACTTGTAACACTTGAAAAATTCAATATCTCCTTATTATCATTTATGATGACAAAAAAAAAGATGCATATTTACTATATTACTTACTTACAATTAGTGATATAGTAAGAACTTACTATGATCTTACAAAGAACTATGTTTAAACATTTTTCTATTATATTATTATTGAAAATGTCTAATAATATTTCAAATTATAAATCAAGAATACCTAATTGCTATTTTGTGTTTAAAAGTTATTAAAAAATAATTAAAAATATACTGGTAAATATCTTATCAAAATTCTTTATTCTGTAAGACAAATATAATAATTCATAATTCTGCAAACAATTCATTATGTCGCCAAAATTCATAATTTTTATTTCAGAAAGAAGATAATTGTTTATTTCAGAAAGAAGAAAGTATAAAGAAATAATAATTACTAATTATATTAAGATATAAGTGTTATTAGTGGATTTTTTTATATGTAAATAACACAAAAAAAAAGATCGATTGAAAGGTTTTGAGCCTCAACATGAAGCATTATTCGTCAAAACCATTTTACTACAATCGTACATGCAAGATATGTTTTCAAAAATTGTAACCATTTTGTTTGGTTGTTGTTTGAAAGGCATTTATATCAGTCGATGTGTTTTCGTTTGATGAAAATCTGTGTCCTTCAAACTTAACTTTGAACTACTTTTTGTAGAAAACAGGAAAAAATCGTTGGATCAGATCTAGTGAATACGATGTAATTAATCAATTCGAACCGCAATTCGTTTTGTGTTATGACGATCATCGATATTCGATTTCATCATTTTTACAAAAACATTGACATCGACTGGTACAAATGACTGTCAAACAACAACTGAGCATCCAAAATGGTTACAATGTTCACAGGTATCTTGCAAAACATGTTCGATTGTAGTATCAGAATAGTTTTAACGAGCAATACCATCTTCATGTTAAAGCTCAAAACTTTTCAAACGATCCTTATAGAAGATATTTATCAACTTATGCGCGTATCCTAAATTAGATTGATATTAATGCAGTATCACGAAATTCAAACAACTGTATTGTAGAATGGAAAAATTTCTCTTTTAATAGTTAAATTTAATGTGAGATGAGTCAAATTAAACAATTTTATTTTTTATAAAAATTTATTCTATGCATAAAAATATAAATTGCTTTATAATCTATTATTTGAATGAAATGGTAAAGAATAAATATTTTATAATTTTGCTCTGCAAAAATGTAAAAATATAGATTGTAATCAATTTAGAAAGAACTCATTTATAAAATACATTTATAAAATTTTTTGAATATCATCTAAAAAGAAGATAAATACATTTTTTATTAATAAATATGTGATGTATGGTGGAAGTCTACAATTCGTATCTCGCGAAATACATTATATGACTATATTTATCTTCTGATAAATCTATATTTCGAATATTCTTTACCATTTATAAACAACGCTCTTACATAAGTAAAGTTTTATATTTACCTACATACATTCGTCTTTAAAGTTTCTGAGTCTTTAAGCTCTTCCATACCACTAAATTACATAACCATATTGAATTACATTATAAGCGAGAAATGTGTCATAAGCGACACGTTAATTTTTCTTGCATACTATTTGTAAATAAAGAGCATTGGATGAAACAAAATTTTTGAAACAAAATGATAAAATCGCTTTAAAAAGCTGATAAAAATAGGTCGAAATTATCCTTACCTTTCCTGATAATAAACAAATAGTCGTAAAAGGCACATAAAATGTGTTTATCAATTTTTACTTAATGCGCATGCGTAGCCCATTTTCACTTCACAAACCTTTTTCGATTAATTACTGATTCAGGAAAGATAAGAAGTCTTGACCCATTTTTATAAATATTTTAAAGTGATCTTGTTATTTTCTTTTATTCAAATTCTTTTTATTTACAAATGACATGCAAGAAAAATCAATGTGTCATTTCTCACTTATGACATCACGATTCAATATGGCTGAGATGACTACTCAGGAACCTTAAGTTCTTTTCTATTTCATGTATTTATTAATAGTAATGCAGCATAGCAAACTACTTCATAATTTTATTGTGTTAATCCGGCCGTCTATCTGTCTGCAAAATAAATTTCATATTCGGCAACCTTAGAACCCAACTATATTTTAGCTCCATCGAAGCAAAATATGAATTAAATCAGTCAAAGCTCAAGATTAACAAAATTTTCAATAATATAAACGACTTAACTTTTTTAAAATCTTTTCGCTGCAGTACTTCATTACATTTGTTGCAATGATTTATTTTTAAAAATAAAATTATTTAATTCGGAAGCGCAAGCATTTGAAATGAAGAACGCAAATGAACAAACCAAGCTTTTGAATTAAAATCACTGCTCTATGATCATTTTTATTTTTGCGATAACATAAAACTTTAATGTGAGCTATGCTAAAATTATATATTTTCAACATCAAAGAAATATATAAACAAATTATTTTTTTTTTATATTAAATGTTTATAATAAATATCATATTAAACGTAGAAACATTCATGTATATAAAAAAAATTTTAAATTACGTCTTTGACGATCTTTATTGTGAAGAAATTTTAGAAGGCCTCATGCTTTCTTTGAAAAATTATGTTTTGACATTAAAAAGTTGTTGCAATATCGCATTATCGAATTTATGTAACTATTCCACACAAGGCACAATTGAATTATAAGATGCTAGAGCAATATTCATAAGCTATGAAGAAAGTATTATTAATATCTTTAATAATTAATAATTTTGTTAATAATTGTAATAATTACATTCGTAATAACCTATAAATATTACAATTACAGCTTACAATTCGTTTGCTTTGCATATACGTTTAAATAAACCCAAGGTTTATTTATTTTTATTTATTTATCACAAATAAACCGGAAAACTGTTTTGTAGATCTGGACGATTTTGTTTTACATCGCATTGTTTTTCTCCGCGAATACTTTCGCCGCTTCTGATCGTCTTGACATCCCGTTGCGAAGAACTCTATACTAGTACCATGACCGATATTTTCGCCGTTTTTCAATACATTTCGTACATTTACACTGTACATGCAGTCGTTTTGAAGCTGTCGCAAATCATAGTGAGATGTCTGAAATTAACGTATGATAAATGAGGTTAAGACATATCGAGACTTATTTCTCATTTTTGTTTTCATTGTTAGTGAGTGTTAAAATTATCAAATTTTTTTTCTTTTCTTAAATAATGAGATTCGAGATCTGGAAAAAAGAACATCATAATTATTTAAAATTTTTCAATATTTTAAATTAAAAATTAAATTTAGAATTAGGTGTTTTGATACAACTATTTGAAATAATTTCACGTATTGAAATTGTTTTGTTAAAAAACTGTTTTACACAATTCTAAATTGAACAATGTAATAAGCATTGCTAAATTTTTTTAAATATTTTATATACATTAAATACAACAGAGAACATCATCATTTCAAAGTTAGATGTTTCGAATAATACAATATAAATTCTTTATTAAATAAATTGATTTCAGATATAATTGCTCCGATAATTTGTGGACTTTCAACACAGTCTAAAACGCTAATCCCCTTAAATTCTCCTTAAATTAAAAAAACTGCGAAGAAGTTATTGCGAAAAATATTACCTCAGCCAGGTTCGAATCTGGGACTTCTCGACTTTCACCTCAAGACACTCGC